TGGAGGGAAGCCTCTGAGGAGCGATGCTGGTGCCCCAGGGCATCCCTGCTGCCTCCATCCCCTGCCCTTGGGCTCAGCCCCAGGGGATCTGCCTTCAGCCAAGGCATCCCACAGCCGATTTCTTCATTGCTAAATGCCTGCTGTAGGATCCAAATGTGTTTCTCCAGCACTGTGAGGTGGTGACCTGGTGTTGACAGGGATGGGGGGACCAGTGGCGGCCAGGCGTGACCTGGGGTAGCTTCCACGATGAGACCGAAAAAGAAAACCCCAATTCTTCTCTCTGAGGGGGAGAATTATTTCCAGCATCACCAGAAAACAAAGCAGACCAAGAGGGATTATTCTCCCCAAACAAGATGCTGTTTGAGAACACCCACTCCGAGTCACACATCATTTTTTTTCCTCCCTGTTTTGTTGCAACTTTGCCAAATCCAAAAACTTCGATCCTGAGTTGGCCTCTAAATTCACGAAACCAGCTTAAAATTCCTGAGACTGTTGGTTTATTCTGAAAAATCTCGTTCTTTTCAGTCAGTGCCTATTTTTGGAGCCCTAAAAGGCCCCATTTTCACGTGTGTCTGACCACAGAAGCTAGAAACCCCCTTGTGCTCCCCCCTCAATCTCTTTTTTACTGATTCCCCATCGATCGAGTGAATTCTGGAGCGGGGTCTGGAAGCAAACAGAAGCCTTGGGAGATTCACAATTGATAGTAGGAGTTGTCAGGAGCTGTTGTCAGCGCAGCGTACGAGCTGTGTGTGAGCCATCCCCAGCAACTGCTCCTTCCCAAGCCAGCAAGCACATGGATCCGCCTTTCCCAGCAAAGATTCCCGCTGCTTGGAAGCGGGAAACTTGGAAGCGGAGCTTATCCTGCTGTCGGGGGGGTTGAGCTGCAGGAGCACCCCCAGACATGCTCACACCGGCTCCTACACACGCTGGCTCAGCCCCAACCGTCCCAATGCTGTTTCACACTCAAGGCTGAGCAGGTTTTGGTGCTGGGGCACATCTGGGTGCCCAGGACGGGGCTGGGATGGCTGGAGCTCAGCGGGCACCCATGGACCCCGGGAGGACACAGCGGCTTTGTGCGCTGTGTGCGGTTTGGGAGCCTGCCCCCGCTTGGCTCCAGGTTACTGCTTTTAAAAGGACCATTGTTTCCACCCTGTGCTTTGGGGGAAACAAGGGGCGAGCTGGGCAGAGGCACGAGGGACACCCTGGCTGTGTCTGCCTCCAGTTTGTGCTGCCGGGGGCAGCTCCCTGGCTGTGCTCTCACCACGTCCTCCTTCCCCTGTGGCTTCAGCTCCAACACCAGTCCCGCTGAGCTTGGCTCAGAGTCCTTGTTCCCCACATCTCCCCTTGTTCCCTTCCCTGTCCCTCTCCTAGCAGGACCTGTCCCTGCTGTGTCCGGAGCACCACTGACCGCAGGGAACACACACAGGCGGTTGTCTTAAAAGGCAAAAATGAAATCTTCATCTTCATAGAATGGTTTGGGTTGAAGGGACCTTAAAGCTCCTCCAGCTCCAACCCCTGCCACGGGCAGGGACACCTTCCACTAGAGCAGGTTGCTCCAAGCCCCTGTGTCCAACCTGGCCTTGAACACTGCCAGGGATGGGGCAGCCACAGCTTCTCTGGGCACCCTGTGCCAGCGCCTCAGCACCCTCACAGGGAAGAGCTTCTGCCTAAAGTCTAATCTAAACCTGCCCTCTTTCAGTTTAAAGCTGATTGCCCTCATCCCTGCGAGCAGGACCTCAAGATTCGCTGTGAGATGCCTCAGCAGCCACACGACTAATGACCCAAATAACAAAGAACACCCAAATGTATTTGGGAAATAACCTCACAGCTGCTTTGGACTCAGTCTGTGGTATCTGAGCTGGGGTTGGCAGGATCTCCAGGGGTTTTAGCTGGGCTCCAACACACACAAACCTGCTTTTTGCTTCGGAGAGCTAAGTTCAGGGTTCGTCCTCCCTGGCTCTCAGTGTTATCAAATGTCTGCCTAATGAGATCTATTAAATCAACCAGCTCCTGCGTGATAATGACAGGAACGTGGATTTCCTCTGCTCATGAGACAGGGCAGAGCAATTAGAGGTGACTCACAGGGCAGATGGACTCAGCCAAGGGGGCAGCCCTGTCCCTGGGATGCAGGGGTAAGGTTGGCTCCGTGGTGGTGCCAAGGAAGCAGCTATTCATCTGCATGTAATGAGTTTTTTGCTGTAACTGGATGAGCATGGAAAGTTCTTCCTTTGAAGGAGCTACAAGGTGATGTCTCCTTATGGGAAGGACCCAAATAGCAAAGGGCTGTTGCTGATTGGCAAAAGTATTTAAGGTTCACACCTGGAGCAGGTTGAGGTTGCTGATGGAGCAGCACCGGCTGCTCCCAGCACGGTGCATGGGAAGGGACCGCAGCTCCTGGAACGTGCTGGGGAGCCTCAGCGCTGGAGGATGCTCTTCCAGGAGTGAAGGTCAGGAGCAGGTTAGCAGCAGAAGGTGTTTCCTAGCTGTGGGAAAGGGGGGTGGGTTGGGTTGTAGCTCCTGCCAGTGGTGGGAACAAATATTTCCTTAGTATAATGTCTGGAATGATGAAAATTCACTGTCTCGGCCTTAAACGATGAGCAGTTTCCTGGGCTGGGCCCCCAGCCTGCCCTGCAGATAAGGGCTGTACTGCTCTTTGGTTGAGATAACAGGGAGACAGGCCTGTCCCTGCTCTGGGCAAATCTTGATCTCATGATCCTGCTCCTGGGCTGGAGTGGTTTCACGCAGCAGCAGAGGGATGCTCCTCAAATCAGGGTGCTGTAACTATGTGTCTTTAATCCTAACTGCTAAAGGTGAAAGAAAGCCTCCAAATCGTGCCATAAAGCTGTGTTCCACCCGGGGCAGGAGGGTGAAGGGGGGAAGATCTGGCCTTTATCTTGGAGGAGTTCTTCCTGGTGTGTTCTCTGCTGTTGCCCTACAGCTTCTGCGGTCAGATCCAGGGGTGGGGAACCTGGCTAGAGACTTTCTCACCTTCCCAGTGGGGTGAGATGTGAATGCAAGCTCTGACACTGTGGATTTATGGTGTCAGGCTTTAAATGCAAACAGCTAAATCAGGAGGAGGTTTCGGGGGGCAGAGCGAGCCCTGAGTGGCACCAGAAGCAGCTCTGAGTTGAGTGCTGGGTAAATCAGAGCTGCAGAGAGTGCTCTGATCCCTTTTATCACCCCTCAGAGCCAGGCTGCTAATCCTTTGTGTCTGCAAGCACGAGAGGACAATGTCCTTGTTTTCTTGCTTTGCTTAGACCTGCCTTCCCTTCTGCCTGCGACGTGCAGGCTTGAGGGCACAGCCCAGCCCTTGAGCCTGCGGGAGAACCGGGGCGCAGACACCGGCCACTGGTTCAGTGCTGCCAAAGAGGCTTTTGGTGACCTGAAGTGCTTTGTGCTGAGCGAGTTGGCTGGTGCCTGAGCTGGCAGAGGAGGAGGGAGGTTGTCATGTGGAACAAAGCTCTGTCTCCTGGCAAAACCAAGGCCAGAGTCTAGTCTGTGGACTTGGATACCTGCTGAGCGCAATGTGGTGCTTAAAAACCACCCTGTGGAAGAGCAGTGAGCAGCCTGGATGAGCGGTGTTAACTGTGTGAGTCTCCAGCAGGAGCTGTTGCTCCAAGTGCTACCTCTGAGCTCTTTCTCCATGAATGAGCCATCATAAAGGCAGGTATCTAAATAATGTCGAAGGCTGTTTGACCCATAAGCGTGAGGGGAGGGTGTGAGTCACAAAGAAAATAGCCCCGTGTTCCTCATTGCTCAACCTTTCACATTCTTCACCTTTGAAATAAAAATGAGTATTAACAAATGCAGCAGACCCTAAAATTACCCCAACCTTTAGAGTGGGGCACCGAGGGGAGTGAGGTCTGCAAAGGAGAATGTGCAGAAACGCTTGGTCACAAAAACAGCAGCAGCATTGAACTGATGGGTGGTGATCCAAGCAGCAGTCTCTTTGCCCCTTTAAATCCCACTGCCGTTAAGAAAGCCCTAATTCCAGTCCCTAGTCCCGTGTGCTCTGTGTTCTCTTGTGGTCTCTTGGCCACCTCTGTTTACTTTCGGTTGGCACCAGAAGTCGCCCATTCTGTGGCTACGCTGCCATTGTTTAATTGCAGTTCTGGCTATTCATGTTAAATGTCAAGTGTCAAACCCCCCTGAAGTAAACAAGACCTTGCCAAAGATCACCGTGACCATTTGCTTCTGTTTTCTGAAGGCTGTGGGCTGGTTTCTGCCTCGCTTTATGCAGGTGTAAACCCAGAGTAACCCTGTGGAAGTGCACAGAGTCATTCCTGTTCCACAGCACAAGCGGTGCCCCAACGAAGCTCCAGGGACAGCAGTTTATCTTCCCAGGGTAAGCACTTGTTTGTCTAATATGACTGCAAATTAATTCCAGATATGATGTGATAACATGTAATTGAGAGGCCCCTGAGCTGCTCCCAGGCTCTGGTTTTGCCAAGCCTTCTGCAGACTGGTGAGGCTGTTATTGCACCACCAGTAATGGAGATTTAGGGAGTTCTTGCTTGCTTTGAAGGTGTGTGTCCTGCACCCCTGTGCTGCTGAGGGTCTCCCTCTCATCCCAGAAATCAGTGCAGTAATAAACTTTCTTTCCTTCTCCCACCTTCCTGCGTTGCTTGATATTAGACAGGCCAAAGGCTACGTGTGCTGCAGTTGTCCCAAGGCTGGCTGGATCTTTACAGGCTAAAGAGAGAAAAGATGCTATGGAGAGGGTGCTGCAGCCCTGCTCCCATCTGGGATGATAATCTGAGTACTTCCTCAGCCCAACCATCAATTTTTCATGGCATTTATAAGCAGGTTCTTGTCTCTGAGACCTCTAACCTGCTGTTGGACAGGGCTGAAGCAGGCCAGCAATCTTCATGTCTGCTGCCAAGCTGGGTTGACCTGGCTGTGCTCTTTAGATGCTGTGGCAGTGCAAATAAAGCAAGAAGGATGTGAGCAGGAGTTGCAGTGTAAACCCTATTTCTGCAAGGCTCAAAGACAGCTCAAGATCAGAAGAAACCTGTTTATTGTGAGGTTTAGGAAAACAATTTTTATGCAAATTGCTTGGTTGGGTTTTTTTTGGCAAGTGATGGGGTTGATACAGAACTTGGGGTTACAGTTTTAAGCATACGAATACAGAGTACCTTGTTCAACAAACACAAACCATACTTATTCCCCGGGGAACATTAAATGTTTGCTAAAATAAATGGGCAACAAACCCATTTTGGGGGGTGGGAGGGACAAAACAAACAACCCGACTTGGAAGCCAAAACCCCACTGAAGAAGCAGCAGTCACATCTTCAATTATACGCTCAGGCTGTACTTTCACTTTGCTTTTCCTGTTCAATAGCTGCCAGAGAAAGGGAGGAAACAAAACCATCATCAACAAACATTGTAATGATTCTGCAGGATACACATTTCCGTGGTCATTTTTAGGGCCAGGGGATGGTAAATCCCTAATGGCTCTTTTTGGCCACCCTGAAAATGCCAACTCATTCCCCTGTAGGGTGCAGTTTATGATGTGTAAAGCTCCTCTTGTATTTACAGCTTGAGCATTGGTAGGGATAACAGATCAGGGAAAAACAGGTATCTTGTGTTGAGGGACAGTGTGTCTCCATGGCTGTCGATATTAACACAACCTGAGTGGTAAGTGATAGTGTTCTGAAGCAAACTGCTCACAAAGTCTGGTTCAAATGCAGAGAAATGCCATGTTGAATGGGAATTACAACCATCATCTGGCTGCTGGTGCACAGCACATGGATGGGAGAAGACCCTGCATGAGAAAATCTTCCTTCTTAAGGAAGATTGCCTGTTAGATGAGGAGGATGATGGGTTTCTATTGCAGCCTTACTCCCAGAGAAGGTGCCTGGAGCTCTCCTGGTCAGGGCTGACAGCAGGTACCAGTGGGGGGCAGCAGCTCATCTGCCTGATAACACATCAAATCCAGAGCCCAGACATCTCCTAGGGATGCTGCTGGGATGCCCAAGGGTTCCCCTGTGCATCTGTGCTTCCAAAGAGGCTGGCAACATGGCAATTACAAACAGTTCGATCCTGTTACATGCAACCAGCAGAACAACTGGTCTTGCTTTTAGCAGAAGCAAGAGCAATCCCATCAGAAAAGCTTTTTCAGGCAAAATACACCACTGGTTACAACTACTCATATCCTTGGAAGCCCAACATAGAGTTCAAGTCTTAGTATTATCCCCAGTTAAAGTCAGGGATGAGTTTGAGCCTGTAATCCTGTGATTAGTATTCATTTTGCATAGGAACTGCATTACAGATTGTGTCCTTGCCACTCGTAGTTCAAATAGCCTCGTAAGCACTTACTTTCTTTAGTGGGCAATGGATTTTTCTCTCTGGTTTCTGTCTTCTTCAGCTTGGTCTTGTCAAATGTTTCAATTTCTGCAAAATCTGGTTTGTCGGACATGGTGGATGCTGACAAAGGAAGGAAAAACACACCCATGGCTTCATTAGCCAGTGCTGTGCTATCAGCCACCTGCAAAGCAGTTGCTGCTCGGAAGCAAAACTATGATAATACCATCAAAATGTGTATTCAAACAATCCCCCTCAAATGCAACCCCTCGAGCTGGGACCTCTCCCTGGGGCTTGTCTCTTACAGAGTGAAAGAGGAAAGGCATAAATAGGATTTTATCCAGATTTCTCAGGTGAAATTTCTAAGAAAAATCATATTTTGCACATGGAAACAAGCATATCTCAGTAAAGACAAGACAATGCGTTAACTGCCAATAACCCACGGTGCCTCCTGATGTAAACCTCTATTTTAAGCAATGCTGCTAACCAGAAAGTCTACAATAACCCCCAAATCCAATATGAACAAAGAGCTTCAATTATGATTTTGTTTTAATTCCTAGGATTTTGATTTGATTCCGAGCACCCTGTCCTGAGTGCATACATACCCTGTATCTGGATGAGCTGCTGTGGACACTTGTGCTTAACAATAGAGGACCGGTTCACCCAGCCCTTTGTTTGCTCTCGCACTCAATATCCCAGTCGCAGGCTCAATGGGTTTGATTATAGTCTATTAGAAGAGAAATCCACAAAGCACAACGGCATTCAACACTTCACCTGCCAAAACTTCCCTAATCCAATCCCTGCTTTTAATAGAAATTCAAGTTAAAATCCAGCCTGGCCATTATTCCCCTTATTTCCATGGAGTTTCCCATCAAGGCGAGGATCGGCCCGGAGATGGCTGATCTAATTGTATTCTTAGCTTCCTGAAGACAATCAGATTTCATTGCTATCTGCACTGAGACAACAGAAGCAAATATTCACAGGGAATAAAAAAAGCAATTACAAGCTACTAAAACCACATGGCATTACCGTCTGCTGCTCTCTCCTCAGCTGCTTGGTGGCCGTGTGAGGCAGTGCGAGTTGAAAAAGGTCAGGGTAATCCCTCCTCTCCTCTCCTCTCCTCCCCCCGCCCGAGCCCATCGCTATTAATATTGATTAGTTTAGTGCCGGGATTGCTCAGCGTTCAGGGAAAGGACAGATTGCTGCTGCAGACAGTGCACGAGGGAGGGAAATGGGAAAACCGACATGGAAAAATGCCATAGTACAGCTTGGTTTTCTCCTTTCTGCTTTTCTCCTCGTTTACCAAGAGGATAATATTGAAGTCTCCCTTCCTGCCCTTCTTTTACAGTGCTGAGGTTTGGAGTTAAGATGAGGTTTGGAGTTCATTTAAGGGCTGCTGCTGCTGCCAGACTAGTTTGTGGGGAGATTTTGGGTGCATTCAGCATTGTGTCTGGGGATCATTCCCCACATGGTTGCTCTCTGTTCTCCACCCATCCTGGTGGCATTGACCACGCTGGAATTGCTTGTAGGAACAGGGGTGTCTCACAGCTGACCGAGCGCGCCAGGAAGGTGCTGTGGATCTTTCTGTTGGCATAACAGGCTTAGGTGGGGTGGGTTTGAGTCTGATTTGTGTGCATGGAGAAAGCGGTTTTCATGTGTTTAAACATGATTTTAAGGACCTCTTCTTCCAATGTTTGTTTACATTAAAAAATGAACAGTTTTTGTGGTCGGACTAGATGATCTTGAAGGTCTTTTTAAAAGGTCTCTGAAAACGGTAATGGCTTTAAGCTGAAGGAGGGGAGATTTAGGTTAGATATTAGGAAGAAGTTCTTCCCCCTGAGGGTGGTGAGGCGCTGGCACAGGTTCCCACTGAGCTCAGCCCTCTGCAAACCTGGCTGTGCTGCTTCTGGACCTAAGATTGTCCAGGCAGCAACGTAGCTACATTTCTGTTCTCCTAAAAGCCCAGTTGACCCTGTTCCTTTGCTTCCATCCCATTAGTCCAACCAATAGTCAAAAATAGAAAGCTGTGTCCTTGACCAAACCCCCCTGGGAACGAGCAGGAGGGCAGCCACTGGGTGAATATTCAGTGTAAGTCATGGCTGAGATTTGGCACTGAACAGTCTCAGTGTCTGTTTAGAAAAGAGCATTAACCTCTTCTTGTTAGGGTAGACACCAGATTTGGGAGATCAGAAAAGTCTATACAACACAATCTGAATGATTCATGAATTTGGGCAGTTCATGAGTTTCAGTTTTTTGAACATTTGTCCATTTTTACAAGTAATAATTAGAATACTTCTTATGAAGAGAGATTACGAGGGCAAAACCTCTTAAGCTTTTAAAGTGGCACGAATTCTCTTAGATGCAGAGAGCAAATGGAGTGCTCAGGACAGCAAAGCAGAAGACTCTTGCTTCTGGCTTTCTGGGCACAGTCACAGGCTTGGCCCCTCACATCCACAGCACAGCTCAGGCTTTTCTGAACACCCCAAGACAGGGTGGCCACGCTTGTTTTTCCACCACCACCGTTTTAATTGCACGATTTATCAGCAGACCTACGTATTAAAAACAGTTTGAGATACATTGTTTGGGTTTTTAGGCTGCAGATGAGCAAGTTTTTAATTGATGTTGGGCTGGGTTTCTGAGGAAGGTGCAAGAGTGTTAGTCCATGTAACATAACGATGAGAAATTAAATGTTCTCACCCTCAGTGGAAATTAGCAGATACTCATCTTCATAACAAACATCTTGACCATTGCATAAAGTACCTGTCAGGTGTCTGTAGCTTGCAAGTTCAGGACTGTGGTCAAACACAGCTCATGCTGGGTTCAGACCTCATGTTTACATACTCCGTGCTGGCCAGACAGCCTTATGTGATTTTCATGTGGGAAGTTTGGCCCGAGGGCATTGGGTACTGCGTTGAGGCTGGTCACAGGAGGAAAGATGGGTAGATAAGATTTTACTCGGCTCCTTTTGCTTTCACTGGGGAATGAAATATTCTTGCTATATGAGCAGCAAAGCAGTTATCTGGCAGGTTTTTAATGGCAGGATTTCAGTCTCCACCTTCAGTAAGGGGAACATGGCATTTACCTGGCCTTGGGACAACTGTGGCAGCAATGAACCTCAACAGTCTTTGAGGTGCACAGAGGCAGCTGAATGATCCGGCATATGGAAATGTGAAAAGCCAGCAGAGCAAGGAAACTATGGGATCCTTACAGATTCTCTACCCATAAAGCATGGAAAGCCACGCTGGTGTGGCTGTGTCTGAAAAGCTGCCTCGGATACAATGGCAACTGCATTTTATTTCAATCTGCTGCCAAAGGGTGAAGAGCTGAGTCAAACCTTCCAGGACTGACACCTCTGATTCCAGTGAGTCACCTGCCACCGACAGCACTAAACCATGCCTGGCAGCACAAGCCACCGAGTGTCTGTCAGACACCCACAGAGAAACAGGGGAAAACAAATACTTGCTACCAGGATGCAGTAATAGGTGAGAGGAAATGTTTAAAGGCGGCTCAAGTGCAAAGGAACATTCAGAGGAGAGTCTGAAGAGTGTGGCTGGGAGGGGTTGGGGCGGCCGCCGCTTGCGGGGTGTGG